TTCACCAACTCCCAGCATGTGACTCGTGAGGTCGAGTTGCTGTCCTCCTGGTTGCTGGAGGTAAAAAAGATGAGAGTCTGTCGTGTCAGATTCAGACTGACCAGTTCGAATGTGAGTTTTTCGCCATTTTCTTGTGACTTGAAAAGATCATGTAAGCCAATTATACGAATCCATGCGTCATCTTCACTGGCCTCTTCCGAGCCTGGAAATTTGAGGAGATTGTATCTGACGAAGATGTCAACATCCGCAAAATAGCGCTCAGCCATGTTGTTGAGAAGGTTAGAGGGCTGACCGTAGGGTATTTTTCGCCACTCCAAATGGCCTTGGTAGGTCTGTACAAAGGTGAACTTAAAGATGAGCAGGTTACAGAAGAACATGACAATGAGGCCAAAGAAGAAGAAGCCTCGAATGGTGCACCAGAAACGACGCAACCCAGTCACTCGTCGGACGTCACAACAGACGATGACCTGCCTTCTTTTGGGCTTTTCGGTGAGTGGATCTGTCTCAGTGCAGGTCTGCTCGCTGTCCGAAGAGGCCTTGGCGGGCCGACCGAGGCTAGGGATGCTGGAGGCGGCCACCTGCAGGTAGCCGTCCTCCTGCTCCAGGCTGCTTAGGTAGTACATGAGATGGGCAAGACAACGGATGAAGAGTAGGAATAGGAAGACGACCGCTTTGGCTAGCAGGCCGATGGATACGGCCGACTCACGACAGGCCGCCAAATAGGTGTGGGTCAGGCAGTTGGGCAGCCAGGCCAGCCAGAGGGTGAGGCAGGCGACAAGGTCCAGCATCAGCCAAGTGTCCTCTTCAGCCCAGTAGAGATTGGTCAGAGCCATGGCCTCCAGACCAAAAGCTATCAGAGCGACCAGATTGAACGTGAGCATGGCGGTCAAGAGACCGGTCTCGACGACACCGAACACCAGACCGGGCAGTTGGAGCACAGAATCGCGGTAGATGAGCCAGCCGAGGGCCAAATCCGCCATCCACGCGGCCAGCATCAAGACGAGATAGAGCAGACGAACCCAGAGGTGCTGAAGAGGCTGAGTCAAGAGACGGCCCAATCGGGAGAACTGCTTCGACGAACCATTCGAGGGCGTCTTGACGACGGCGGTGCTTTCAGGGGATTGGGGTAGCGTGGAAGACGGTTGCAACGACATGCTTTAGGCCAGTAGCCCAACTGCGGCCGGTGGCAGAAGCATGTAATCAAGGCCGAAAGTGACCGACTGACTAAGTGAATGATTGAGTGATTAGGTTATTGGGTAACAGAGTGAGTGAGTGAATGAGTGAATGAGTGAGGATGGGACAGCCAAGTGAGATGTGCATGTTACAGTGAATTTTATTCAGTCGGCTTTAAGCCCGGCGGACAAGCAGACGCGTGGCCGCGCAAGCATGTAGGCCATGATAGGCCTAAAGATCGCGTAGACAGTCGACATGGCGAGTTGAGAGAATTTATGTTGTCAAGCCAGTGGAGGGCTCGCCATGCACCCGTATTTGGCCGCATTGTCATGCCAGAAAACCCGTGTACATGGAAGACGGAAGTGATCGATAATGGTAGAAGAGAGCCTCCGACTTCGGGACCTGTTAGCCTTAAATGTCCGACAGGGCAATATGTGGGTGGTCGTCAGTATGTGAGTTGAGACCGGTACACTCTGTCAATAGACATGGTAATTTGGCAGGACCTTGTGCTACACAAGGGGAAAATAGTTTTTAGTCAGGATCTACTCGTAGTTTCGAAAACTATAATTTGGGTTGTACTAGGCGAAGAAAGAATTGATAATAATTGAATTTTCCAACAAAGATAAGAAAAAAAACTGAGGTTCAATGAATTCCTTAATGGAATATTGTGGCATGACTCTTTATTTCGAAGGGAAAGTTGGTAGAAGGAATCCGTTATGTGGTATCACAAGAAACCGAAGGAGGATTGTCGCGTAAGGAAGACTGTTGAATTGTGCGAAGAAGTCATCGGCTCACCGTCCTGCAACACCGATGAAACTGTGCTAGGCTTTCGTCTGTACCATCGTGACAGACCTCATCAGAACAAGATTCCATACTTTACGAAATAGAGCAAGAGTACGCTGAACCAAGAGAAAAGGTGGCCTGCTGCAACCTCAGTCATTTTTTATACACTCTACATCGCGATCTTAGTGAGGCCTCCCCTGATTTGGTTGGCTATTTCAACCTTACTCTACATGGAAGGTATCTATACCAAGATTGTATGGCCTTTTGTGTGGTCGCAGACTTCTTTAGTTGTATAGAAGTAGTTTTACCTTGTTTTCACAACTTAATCATATTGGTATGACTCTAGAAATCATCATACATACAATGGACTTCTGACTATGTATGTTTCTCTAAGTCTTCCTACCAATATGACCAAGTTGAGAAAGCAAGGTCAAACTACTTCTTACTCGACATGCTTGCAAATGAGTGAAGTTAACTTCCCAAACCGGAAATGCGTTTGGCAGCGTTCATCGCACAACAACTAGCGTACGATCGCCTAATACTAGATCATATATGGGCTTGTGCTATTGCCTATTGTGTGTATGTGTGTGTGTAATGCTCATGTCATGAGTAGTATAATAGTCCTAGCTGGACACGAGGCTAATCCAACCCTATTCTCTTACTCTCTCCCTCTCTTTAAGCCTATCCAACAGCCACAAAAAGTTCCTACTTCGTTTTCTACACTTGTTTCTTTTATTCAGAAGGTTGTTTATTTTGTTAATTTCTATATACTCCCTTATTTTACGCTTTTGACGTGAAATCACCGTTATCCGCAAAACATTTTTTGGACCAGTCTATTGAGTGCCCTATGGCAAATACTAAGTTTACCACAGAGTTAGAAAAGGAAAATAAATTGCTTTTTTTGGATATATTAGTGATCAAAGAAGGTAATAAGTTAGGTAGAGACGCATATAGGAAACCCACTCACACCGGTTTCCTTATTAATTTCTTCTCCAACCATACATATAAAGTAAAAATAGGAGTTATTAATTTTATGATAATAAGGA